GCATGTATCTATCTATATATCTAAATTTTATGCTGAATTCCAGTCATACCTTTATTTACACTGTCATGCTTTGAGATAAAGGACACATATGAGTAATAAACATCTAGTGCTGGCAGCATGCTGAATACTAAAGTTGAATCTTGTAAAGTTGCGGTTGTTTCCATTTTTCAAACTCCACCTTCGCTAACGCTAAAGTAGGATTATTTTTACTTTCCTTCATTTTCTTTGAGGGATTAGGCTAAAGCATGGTAATTTTGTATATTCAATGCATTTTACGTTATTAATGATGCCCTTAACTAGTCTGGTCAGATGCTATTGTTATTTAATAAACAGGTAGCTATTATTGTACTAAATAGATAGCATCTACTGGATCATATCATTTTCGTGTAATTTTTCTTACTATGACATGGCAGGACAGGATTGGGGCCGAGCTGATAATTTAAGATACGACTGCTGTTTTATATGTTTGGATGCATCTCTACCGGAACTGGATAAGTATGTGAACCGAAGAGTTGACCAAATGGTGTCCACTGGTCTACTCGAAGAAGTTCGTGATATTTATAATTTCGATGCTGATTATACGCGAGGGCTTAGGCAGGCGATTGGTGTCCGGGAATTTGATGATTTTTTAAGATATTGGAACAGTGAATGTCTACAACAGTCGTCTGAATGTTTGGGAGTTTCTAAACACAATATGCTTCAAGTTTTGGATTCCAGTAGTGAGGACCAATTGAAGATCACCTTGGTAGAAGCTATTGAGAGAGTGAAATTAAATACGAGAAGACTTATTCGTCGCCAAGTAAGCAACACTCCTGCTTGAGGTGTATTTTCTCTTTCATGAATGAATTGTAGGAATAACTCTAAAAAATACTCTGGGTTTCAGTTTCATTACGCATGTAATGCAGAGAAATTCCAGAAGTGCCAAAGAAACCTGTAATTTTGATTATTTGTTAGTTTATAAGTTTCAAGAGGTGACCGATAGTTCTTGATATGTAGGGATGCTTACTGCTTTGGAACAGATTAGATAAAATATTAAGCTCCTCGTTTGCCCTTGTTTAATTTGTATGTCTATCAGTGAAATAGAATTGCAAAATTGCAATGACCTTGAGTTGTATATAAGGAATATCTCATGAATGTTACTTTCCCAAACTATTGATATTTTCGTGAACCCTAAACAATGAAGAGGCCTATCTTTGTGAAATGGACTACTCTATACTAAGCTTTATTGCTGATATTTTTGTGCTCTTCAACAGAAACGAAGGTTTAGTCGACTTCAAATGCTGTTTGGATGGGATATAAATTTTGTCGATGTCACGAGCTTCCTGCAATGTATGCTTATCTCTTTGTTTCTTAGCATATCAAAACACCATAAATATGGTTTCCTCTTTACTTATTTCGTAGTTTAATGATGATACGGAGTATGTACAGGTTTTTCAGACAATCTATGGGCTGCAGATGTGTTGGAACCATCAGCCAATATAATCAAATCTTTCCTTGATAAAGATGTCAAATTCAATATTACCAAGCCAAATTCCCGAGAGGTAAAAGTAAAACGGGACCTTTGGACTCGATACGTTTGTCAGGTTAGTTGTAGCACACTCTATTATACATTTGAAGTGTAACGTAATTACAAAAAGGCCATAATCTTTCAAAATTTTGCAAGTATCCCTTGCATGACTTCGTACTTCAGGAACACTGATTGAAGTGGGAAATTTTATATCTAATACTTCTGTGTGTGTGTGTGTGTGTTTTTTTTTTTTAATTATAACTTGAGAGATTATTGACTGTGGATTTGTCTTTGAGTCGATCATAGTAGGTTTTGCAATAATTGGAATAACACAAGTTGAACACTATAGAAGGTGTAGATAGGTTCACCTTGCTTGCCACAACAACTTATACTTACCCTTAGTGTAATTTGTTTCTAGGCATGTGGTAATAAGGAGCTTCGAGGCGCACATGAATGGGAACAACATAACAAGGGGCGCTGCCATCGTAAACGAATATCAAAGTTGAGAAAGTCGGGCAAATTTTCGGATTTGAGCCAAAACAATTTTTCTGATTAATATATATATTTTTTATATATTTTATTTTTCTTTGGAGAAACGCTCATTTCTCTACTTGAATGTGTGATTTGTGAAGTGCTTCATCTGTATCCCTTCATGCCTGACATATTTTAGTACTTAAACGAATTGTACTCAGGTTTTTTTCAGTGGTCATTGGACAACTACTTCCCTTTTTGTGTTTTGATTCATATTTTACATGTAGGTCTTTTGAAGTTAAAGTTCACACTGCATGGATATCAATGTGACATGAATAATTGGATTTAACCAAATTCTCGGTGTATTATTTAAGATAACTCTTGTGAGAAAGAGACTTCATGTGAAATCCATAAAATGCCTAGCTATTAGCTCTCGAACCCAAGTGCTCTATCAAGTTTTAAAACCTTTTAGTTAAAAGTTAATGGAAATATCTAGTTGAAAGAACTAATTTGGAAAGTGTGAAGCAAGACATTTATAGTTTGTTCTTGTTTACCAATTGAGTTTTCTTATTCGAAAGGCATCTTATAATGATATGTTTGGATAATATTATCACTATGTTGCATCTTGAAAATGCTGTTGAATGCAACTAAAGTTCTACTGTGATAATATTAGTTTGCTATTTTCCAACAACTAAAATTATTCATCAAGTTTCTTATTGATAATGATAAAATTCATGTTGACGAATTTTATCATATACATAAGGATGAATTTATGCTAGCAAACATTAGGACTCCATATATAAGGTATACTAAGGTATAAACACGTAAGAGTATTTTATGAGCATAGTGCTCATGTAAGTGTTACTATAGTTATTACCTTAGTGCAGTGAGAGTTGGTGTTAAATGTTTTCTTGAACCGTAGTTGATGGTTGTGATTCACTATGAATCATTAAAGTTTTCTAATTTTTGTGACTTTATATTGCATTTATGGATTGATATCACTAAAGAATATAGTTAGACAATTGAAAATAGACATGATAAATATCACATTGCAGGTAATTTAATGTCACTTACCATATTTGATCTATGTCATTGAGTTTAATAGCATGGTGATTTTCGGGGTTTAACCATGATTCGTAATGTGGTAAATAGTGCGGCAATTTTATTACTTGTGTATGAGATGGTCTAGATTGTTCAAGGTAGTCTGAAGATGAATAACATAAAGTTGCGCAACTAAGAAATCAAAATAATTGCGCAAGAAATAGTATGTAGTACAAGTGGGAGATTGTTAGGGAATATTTTATTTTTCTATGTATAATCTAATTACGGGCAACATACTATATACAATTATATTAGTTATTCAATTAATTAGTGAACTCAATTAAGTGATCTAAATAAAGTAGAATCCATTGGCTACAGTAATTGATACGGGCTGATTGAATGAATACTTAATATTACTAAGGTTAGGTGATAATGGTTGGTCAACCCTAGGAGGTATATATAAACATTATTGATTATGGTCTCAAACACACTAAATCAAACACAAATTTCTTCATCTCCCCATCGAAATTGAGAATGGTGATCCCATCTAAGGAACGGTGATCCCTTTCGTGATTGATGATGTGTTCGTTATCCAAATCGTGTTCATATTCGATATAGCGATAATGTTGATTGGACCCATAGATTCAATAAGGAACGCTTCTGCTATCTAGTTAAAGTGTGTTTGTTTACAAATATACCCCCAAAAATCTAATGTCAACTCCAATAACTTAACTATAATCAACCCCACTATCCTTAATATTATCCATATAATTAAATAATATCAATCAACATTTTGACACGTCATACCAACTTTAATTTACTATTCATCTACTCATATAATTTTAACACCTACCACTTTCAATCATCTATATCCAACTTTTACATCAAATCAATTTTAATCATTTTATTTTAAATATTATATTTAATACAAACTTAAAATTCAACTAACAACTAAATATATCAACTTTTTAAAATTAATCATGGTTAACAAAAATAGATCAATCAAATACCAATATATTTGTAAACAAGTAAGTCAAGATTCTTGATTATTCGATATGAATTCTCTCTTAATTATTTTAGCATAAGGTTAATCACAACAAGAACAATCGCATTATTCTAGGAGCTATTAAAGTGCTCAGAAATTCACAGTATATACATTTAATTTCTTAGTATGAAATTGAAGTGCTCATAGAAATTCACAATACTACACCACTGAACATGAAAACTAATTTGCTGAAGAACTCATGATGATATATGTGCACAATATATCAAAATGAAAATAAACACAATATTATTAGTGCAAAACTGCAAATTGACAACCTAACCATTTAATGGTTAATATTCATTTAATTTGTCCTATGGTCATTTCGCTACAGTAGATTTTCATTTCTTCAGAAGAAACAACGAATGGCTAAAAACAGTGTTTCTATACTACAACTAAAAAAAAAAAACACGTTAATTTTAAATGAATGTCTGAAAACTCGCGTGCTAGCTAATCAATCATATAGGAGGGTATTCAAATATTGCTTCGATCTATCACCAAAAGACAGCCAAGCAACATGCAACTTGGACATTTGAACTAAACATCAATTTTACAATACATATATCATATATCTGTTAATTAGTTTGTTTCTTTTTTTAAAAAATAAAAAAATAAAAAAAAAATCCTCCACCCTACAACTTTGTGCTATGTTTTCGTGTCACTAAACTCTCAAATACATAATCAACCCTCAAAAGTCCTCGTCATCAAGGGTTGATCTTGTTATAGGTACTGACCATCTCCCCAGGTGCGCCGTGTAGTTGGTACACCGGATCACTCCCCGGCCAGCGGGCCCGTCAGGAAACTCGACCACACTGATGCTGCCTGGGTCGAGATGAAACGATCCCAGCCACTCCTCTGTCAGGCCCAATAAATGTCCCACCAGCCCAATGTGAAGAGCCGGGTGCCCAACTGAAACCACATTATTTTCAAAGTCAGGCCCATTTGAGAGTTCGTCCAGTAAATGCTTCCAGCTCAGCCCTGCCTGCTCCCACAGTGCCATTCTCGTCTCATCCTCCATTGCAAATAGGAAAGCACAAGTATGTTTTAGAAGTAGAATGAATAATACCATGTTTAGATAAGCCTTTTTATAGATAACCTCATTTCTTACTTGCTTTGTCTGATTAAGGATGTTTTCGACACTGAGGTCCGGCAACTGCTTCATTTCCACGTAGCGCGGCACACAATCAGCGCCCAAGCAGTCGGCGGCTTCTTGAACCTGAATCTCACAATTTTCAAATTATCATATTACTGTACAAGCAATGCCATATTATCAGTTGTTATGCAAAATTTACCTTGGAAATTGCATTTGCTGTTTCAACTGATGCTACAGCACAACTGCTGACTATGCTGCTCACCTTCACGTCAAGAAGTAGCTCAGCAGTTTTCTGTGCCTGTTTTTTACGTTGTTTAAATATAAAATATCAGGTTAAAAAACATCAAACAAGTTGAAGCGTACCTGTATTAAATTTTAGGTGCCAGAAAAGTCGTACCTGTATTATGCCAAGCATGTTCATTGGGCTATCCCCAGAGTATAAATTTGTGCCCTGCTACAGAAAATCGCATTTCAGCTATAAATAATTTAGAAAAAATAAAACTAAATTAATACTACACGAATAGAGATACAGTAAGAGCAGTGTTTGTTAGTCAAAGCAGAAGGTCTTTATTATACCTGTTCATTCTGAGAAAGTCCATGGCAGACGAGTATAATTCGCATATTTGCTTTCCTCCCTCCAGAGCTGCCAGCGGATAGAGGTGAACTTGGAGTCTGCATCATTACATATATGTAAAATCACAGCATGAACCTCAAAGCAACCTACAAAAAGCCGAAATTTTTGTGTGTGGATATTCATACAGCTGGAGGAAGAAAGAATGTCCTTGATAAATGAAGTTTNTTTTGGGTCAAATAATACTACATACAAATTGCAAAGAAACAGAGAAAAACCACCACATACCAAGAAATGGTAAGGAGTTACTACCTAACTATATAAGATACAGCTGAATAAGTTGAGAAAATTGAAAAATATGAGTGACAAAATGACAGTTTAATTATTTCAAGAACCACTTGGGAGCAAGAGAGAGAAAGAGAGAGAGAGAGAGAAGGAATATGCTGCTGACTACTTAAGTTAAAAAAGATGTTAACCACTTATATCCTATTATTTCATCCATTAGCACTTCATTCAACTAATCACCCATTGATAACTCTGTCAGTACAGACATCCATTCAAATAGGCATAACAAATTGCATACCTGATTTAGACGGTTAAGGCATATATCCACAGATCCGCCTTCGTGTTTTGGTGTGAAATCCAGCACACTCACACCACAATTGCTCTGAAGCAGTATCCTGAAGTACTCGGTGCCCAGTCCTGTTTACAGATCACAACAAAAGCAATAAATAAATTCCGGACCATTTTTCTATATAAGCAATAACATAAGCTCACATTCAGAAATTAAATCAAAACAATACCTATTGCTGTGGCCACAAGAGCCTGGTTGACGGCATTATGAGCAACTACAAGTATTGATCTGCTTTCGTGTGTGAGTATCTTTGCCCAGCAGCTCCTAGCTCTCGACCACAATTCCCTCACTGGATAATGACCATCAATATTGAAATTCACTGCATCTATTTGCCATTGACGGTAAGCAGCACCATATCTTTCTTTCCCTTCATTCTTCAAAAGGCCCTACAAATAGTAAATAAAGTGAAAGTTCATTTATTAGCCTTTATATGTACCGTAAAGTGTCATTTAAAGTATAATAGCTTATTTTACATGTCATTTAAATCACACTCACTTGAAACGAGTAGAGATCGATTTCCCTCAAATTGGATTCCGTTATTATTTCCTCCTCTCGGGAACCCCATATGATCTCTGCAGTTCTTTTCGACCTTGTAAGTGGGCTGAAAGTAACAAGAGGGAGAATGCAGTCAATATGTTAATATATACAAATTGGTAAAGATATATTCACACGAATAATAATTTATAATGTTCTTCAGGTTATGCGTTATCAATCACATTATCATTTCCATTTTTGTGCAAGGGGCCCAACACAAGTCATCTACTCTTTTTTATAGCATTGCACTACAACAGAGTAAAAAAAGGAGAACTGATCTACTTCATACACACAAACGCACACACGTTTATAGGGGGAGCTATTCATGTGTTTTGCACATCTTATGCGTATATTGAATTTAACAAGTCATTTTGAATCATTTCAAGAGAAAATGTAAACATTAATGCCTAAAGAAATAAGAAATCTGATAAAGAAATAGTCCATCCTTGTCTCGACACTTAATTTCATTTTTTAAAGTCAATTTGTTCCAACTTACACTAACAGTGTAGAAATCAACCATCTCATTACAAATTTACAGATTAACTTCTTCTCTCCCCCACAAATTTTCACAGCAATTACTGCATCAGCTACTTGAAAAGGAAAAAGATCAGCATTCAATTAATCAAGCTTAGGGTAGCAGACCTGGAGAAGCAAACATCGAAGGTATCATCGAGAAGCATCTGGCGCGAGGTCTCGGCCTGAGACTCTCCCTTGGGGGTTAGCACCGAGAAATCGGAGCTTCCTTGAATCCGACCCTCCGCATTCCACGTGCTCTGCCCGTGTCGTACCAGAATAACCCTCTTCGCCATCTTCACCGGCGGCAGGCTGATACTCTCCCAGCTCGTCAATAGCTCCCGCCTCTCGTCGTCGGACAACACCGGTCGAGATATCTCGATCTCCGGCAGGCTTGAAGAGGATTTCACGACACAGATCTTAAAGTGTTCGCCGTTTTCATGGAACCGGCGCCGGCGGAGGAATTTGTTGGTTTCGCAAAGGGGGAAAAGTTGGGTGATTAACGCAGTGGACAACATGCTTCTGGTTACGAATCTCTATCATTTTTGGCGCTGAAATATGGATAGAAGATTTTTTCGGGTTTCGGGTGGCCAGCGTCAGTTCTTTTCTTAAGCCAACGGTAGGCCCAGTATAAATTAATGGTTGGGCTTGTGTGCATTAATCCTCGTAAATGAGATCCTTTCTTTGAAAAAATTACCNCAAGACCCTAAATAAGCCAAAAAATTATCTACACAAGTCCAACCAAATATCGAAAGAAAAAATGAGAAAAAGAAAAGAAAACAGACAACAGCCAAAAGAAAACGTCTGAACCTGAGCTGACAGGTGCCCAGGCAAACAGTCTACTCTGCAAAGAGGTCGAAGCACAAAAATACAGAACGACTCATAGAATCTCGACGAGGGGTAGTCCACTTGGTCCATCTTCACAAGAATACGAAGGCGGAGAGGGGCATCATCCAGGTGGAAGGTGCGCCTCTGTAGGGTGGAGGCACCTAGGCTAGCCAGGTAATCAGCAAGTCGGTTCCCCTCGTGGAAGAAGTACGAGATCCGGTAGCGAACCGACTGAAGTGTGGATATGATGCGCATAAGCGGGTGCCACGAGCCCTGGTAGCCTGAGGTCAAGAGGGTGGCGACAGCGGCAGCGTCCAACTCTATCCAAACGTAAGAACAGATAGAGGTTGCAATATGAAAACCAATCTGAAGCGCCTTAACCTCCGCGTTATAGCTCGAGTAGGTCTTAAGATGGGTGTGAAAGGCGGGAATGAGAGCTCCGCTGTAATCCCTAATCAGATCCCTGCCTCTGGCGGCTCTAGTAAGTCGATCGAAAGATTCGTCAATGTTTAGCTTAACCCAACGAGAGTCGGGTCTCAGCCAAACAACGGCTTTGGGGGGTGGGTGCTGGACATGCGGCAGCAGAGATGGTTCGAAGTGATGGGACGGCGTGCAGCCTGTCCAGTCTCTAGGTGTGAGTCTACTCAGAGATATGAGGAAAGAGAGATGTCGACCAACCTGCAAAACAATGTGGGAGCACATAAAACTAATATCCCTATGCTTTGCACTATTCCTTGCTGTCCAGATGAATCACAGGATCAGACAAGGGATAAAGAAGCCCACGTGTCAAAATCGTGTGCGTTGTGAGAAAAAAACTCACGAGCACAAAAAGTTGTTTGTAGTAGGTAGGGATATATGAGTATAAATGAAAAAATGCTCTTACACTCTCTTCGCATCCTCGCTCTCTAAAAACAAATGGGAAAAAGTCTAAGTCTGGAAATCACCGGTCTCAGCACAATAGTAACACCGCGAAGGGAAGAAAATCCCCCTCGTCTGCATCACAGCGTCGATCAAAATTTGGCGCAAAAAAAAGACGCTAAAGGAAGACATATATGGTCGGGGTAATCATGTCGGTCCAAATGGCTCCAAAGAGAAGGTTATGCCAGTCACCCAGCCGTACTTTCTCCCAAGTCGAGGTCGTAGAAAATGCACCCAAAGATGTAAGTTTCACCTCATACCGTCGAAACCATCATCCAATATGGGAATCTGCTGGATCTGATCTAAAACCTGGTCACTAAAACCAGCTCCCGAACCCAAAACCTCTCTAACCTGTCCATATCCCACGGCCCATCAGTTAAAAGGTCCTTCACAGCAGGGAAGGAGAGTGAGTGACCTGCCTAGTGCTCGAAAAAGGCCCCTCACCAAACCACCACTCGTCCCAAAAGCTAACATCTCCCTCACCCAGCATCCAGAAGATGTGCTCCTAGGCACACCTACCTACCTTGGTTAACTGCCTCCACTGCCTATTATCATGAACGGTGGTCGTCACCCTATAGTGATGACAGAAACCTCTAGGGATCCGCGAAGGCACTGAGCCCAAATCGACTTTCCCTCGTTGAAGCACCACCACATATTATAAGAGATGGCGGTGACTACATGTGATAAGCGGCGGATCCTAAGGCCACCCTCTGGAAAAGCCCGGTAAACGGAATTCCACTTCATCCAATGGACATGTCTCCTCCTCCGGAAACCTTTCCTATGCCCTTAGAAAAAACGATCCATGATCTGATCTAACTCGTGGATAGTGTATTGAGGAGGATCGAGGACCAGAAGAAGATGACGTGGAAGGGCGATGAAGGTGCTCTTGATCAGCATGCCGACCTCCAAAAGAAAGATGTCTGTGCGACCAGCTAGTGATCTGGTCAATCATCCTCTACCTGACGTCTGTAAAGAGCGCACTCGTAATACGACCCTTGTACAAAGGCGAACCGAGGTAGATGATGGGGAGGTCGCCGTGCACAAAACCAGTGCGTTCGTGGACCCACTACGCCCACTCGTGATATAATTACATTTAACTATTATATATAATATATTAGTTATAAAAAACATATTATTAATAATTACTAAATCAAAATTTATTTTAATTAACCTAAATAAAAAATTAAGCCAATTCTATTTTTAAATATTTAAACATATTTAAATAATTTCAATTATTAAAAAAAATTGGCCGGCCAGCGGCCTGCCGTCAAGTGCAGTGCCAAACGGCGAAAACGACCGCCTTGGGAGAGGCTGACCTCCAGTGGCAGCGGATTACAACGTAGCCAACCACCGATGGTAGCCGCTACTTCGAAATTTTTTTAAAAATTTTTTACAAATCGAAAAAAAGATATACTGGGCGAATCATGAATCCCTTGTCGAGAATGTTCCATTTTTTGGAATTTTTTTGGAGGTGCGGCGTTGCGGCAAAGTGGCGGTAGCAAGAGGAGAGTAAGAGAGAGAGACAAATTTTCTTAAAACTTTAAAATTATGAGAAGGACAAATTTGTCTGGAGGAGGCAGTGAGTAGTAAAATAGACGATGTTTAACAATTCACAAAATGTATCAGCTGTTAATTTATGTTGGGTGCACTGATGTGGCTTGAAAAGGTCGCACATCATTTCAGAATAATTAGCACCTACCCCTAAATATTGCAAGACAACTCTCTCCATTTATTTATTTTTAATTTATGTCCGCTTAACCATTACGCAACAACAATTGGATTGGGGGGAATTGACATAACTAACCACGTTTGAAAAAAAATTTCAATGAAATAGATTGAATGTTGAGAAATCCATTAATACTCTAATTGCGGTTACGTTTAGAATTGTGGTTACATTTAGATAACAACCAATAAATAAAACAAAACAATAAAAAATATAAATTTAAAAAAAATAATTGTTTCTCTCTCCTATCACCTCGCTCCACTTTTCACGATTATCTTCTTCTTCTTCTCCATCTTCTTCTAAAAACGTAAAAAAACCAATCAAAACATAATTTTTTTCTATTTCTATATAATGAAATGCATTCCAAAAAGATTTCACAAAATCATAAGAAAATTTCACATAATCAAATAAATAGAAAAGTTAACATAAGATGTGAACCAATAAAAAAATAAGCAACAAGAACCATTCTGTCGAAAAAAGAAGCAAGATACTGTTATAGAAAAAAAACATAACAACATTAAAAAAGCAACATGAAAAAAACTTTAAAGCAGCATGAAAATAATATGAAATTTGTACAACAACAACAAAAAAATAACATAACACCTATCAAACAACATGAAAACAACAAAGAATAAACAGAAGTCCAATCAAATTTTTGGTCAAGATTTGGGCTAGCCAATTCAAAAAATGAAGACAATTGCACGAAGAATAGAGAAAAACAAAAAACAATAACTACATAAAATCAAACACCCAAAAGAACAACGAAATCCCATTTTAATGCCACAAAATAGAAAAAAAAAATAGCAAAACTAATCACAAACAATTCAACACATTAACATATCATGCAATTGATAATTGAAAATTTATTAGAAATCGCTCAATAAATAATATAAACATGCAAAACCAGATCTTAGCACGATGCACAAAAACAGAAAAAGAAAAAAGAACAACTACCTAAAATTGTCAATTTCCTCAAATTCACCAATGATAATCGGGAGAATGTCGGATGAACGTGGCTGGTGGATGGAGGAGAACGTCGGGGTCGCTGGAGGGCCGATCGGTTATCGGTTGCGGTTATTGTCGCTTGACGTTGTTGGTCGTCTTATGATTGTCGGCGCTACTTTTTCCATTTGATTGATAATCGGGAGACCTCAATTCGTAGTTTTATTCTCTAATTTAGGGGATTTATATTCTGGAAAAGATTTCTTGTGAGTCTAAGAAAAGAGTTGTGTGTGAGAGTGAAATTGCATAACATGAAGAAAAAAAATTGCATCGAGAATGAGAATAGATAGGGGAAGAGATAGAAAGAGGGGAAGAAGAAGAAGAAGAGACGTGGAGGAAAAGGAGAGAGAAGAAGAGAGTGAGAGGGATAATGAATCATAAGAAAAATAACTGTCTCCTAAATCTGACTTTGTGAGGAGTATTTTGGAAATAAAAAAGACAATAATGTCTTAATAGATTAGCGAGGTAACTATCTAAAGAATATTTTTAAATGGGTGGAGGATGTCCAACAAATTGACATGGACCTGTCCGCTGATCGTTCACTGCTGGGCCAGGGAAAGGGCCTATTTCCCTACTCAGCTTGTATTGTATTGTATTGTATATGGATGGATAAAGTTGTACATATGTTTTCTGGTTTTGGAATATATAATGAAACATTTTAATTCAAATTTCAGTGGCAGAAATACTAAAACGCGATTTTCCGGCTCTAATATGCAGACGAAATGTCTTTCATTTGTCCTAATCCTTCTCTGTATGTATCTTTCTCTCTCTCTCTCACACACACACACCACCTCTCAATTTACTCTCTCACTCACTACCACAGCCGTACAGATCTTTTCCACATTCGCTACTCTCTCTCCCTCTTCAACTCCAAAACCCTAACAACCGCTCCAGATCTGCTCTCACATTCGACTTCAATTGCTTACCTCCTCTGTTCGATTCTGTTTAATACATTTCTCGTTTCTGTAGCTATGCATTTGTAGTGTGGCCTGTAAGCTTTTACTAATAAATGGCCAACTCCGAACCGGACAAGAAGCCTCGACCCGGACCGTGGCCGCCTGCGCCGGATTCCGCCGCAATGCCGCCTTCCTCCTGGGCCAAACGCACCGGTTTCCGCCCAAAGTTCTCCGGCGAGACCAATGCCAGCAACTCCGATCAAATGACATCTTTACCCCCGCCTCAACCGTCCCTGCCGAAGCCCAAGCAGCCGGATACCAGCCTCGACATCGAAGCAGGACGCCCGAGGCCCGGCCCAGATTCCAATGGGGAGGCTGTTGCGAGGGACAGGGCCAAGGAAAAGGAGAATGCCAAGGAGCTAACACCTCCTGTGAGAAAGCTGAGGCAGTCCGATGGAGGAAAGAATCTGGCGGCGAATGGGGGGGAGGGTAGCCGGAGGGCGGCTAGAGGTGAGGAGGTTGTTGCAGTAGATGTGCCGCATCAGTCGGTGCTGGACGATGATGATTATGTGGCCAGACATTCACATATGAAGTACGAGCTTAGAGATTCTCCTGGTCTAGGTAAGTTTTTATTTCAAACTCTTATCTTTTTGGCATTGAGCGGGTGTATGTTTTGCTGGAATAGTCAATGTTCTGCTGATTTTGATATCAGCAGGAGGAAAATAATATCAGCCGGCTTCTAGTGGTTATGTTGAGATGAAAATATTTTCATGTACTACACAATTTAGTGCTGGAATTGGAGCTAAAAGTTGCAATCTTTAAAGAAGTGACTTTGGAATTTAGGTGGAAGACAGAAGAAATATGTGGCTGTGATTTTATTGCCAAAGCTTCTGGTTTTACAATCTGTTGTTCATTGTAAAACCTTCTCGTTTTAACTAATTCAATTCTTAGCTTTTTCCATACCACTTCTCCTGCTGAAAATAATCCATTTTATTGAAAGAAAAGGTTCTTGTGAACATCACCTATAAGCCGTCTCTCCTTTTTGCAATTGGATTTTAGATGGATACTTCTATAATGGTATTTTTATGTTTTGTCTATCCTTGGCATTTTTAAGCCTATACAATTGTGATGGCTACTTATCTGTGATGAGGTTTTCAGGCTGTCAAATTTGTAAGTTGATTTTTTTTTTTTTGTTGCTGTTTCAGTTCCCATTGGTCTCTACGGGTTTCAGCATTTTCTCTCAATGTTGGGCTCATTGATACTAATTCCGCTTGTGATAGTTCCTGCAATGGGTGGCACCTATGTGAGCACTTGTAATTCATTTGACATTTAATCTCTAAAGCTTTCTTTCCTGTGTAGAGTTATCTTCTGTGGATAACTAGAACTAACAAAGGCGACCATTTTTGTAGGAAGACACAGCCGATGTAGTTTCCACTGTGCTGTTTATTTCAGGAGTGACCACACTTTTGCACGTATCGTTTGGTTCAAGATTGCCCTTAATACAGGGTCCTTCTTTTGTTTATCTTGCCCCAGCACTTGCTATTATCAACTCTCCTGAATTTTTGGGGCTTAAAGGAAATGTATGTGTTTGGATTCGTGTGCTATATTTCACAAGCTTCATTTCTGCCCTTTGTCATTATATTTCATGTTTTCTCTTGGCTAATAATAATACTTATTTGATTTTCTTTTTTAAATAATTTAGTTTCCCCCCAACCCAACTCAGTAAGCTGCAAATCTTACAGGGTTTATATTGGTTTTTTAACTATGTGGGTTGTTAACATTTGAAGGTAGCCATTTTGGCTATTACAAGACAAGAGATGAGACTAAAAGCGAACTTTACTTGGGATATAGCTAACTTTGTTTTGTTCTTAGTGATGTCATGTTGGCTTGTTAAATTTTAATCTCATAAAATGATCATCAATTGTAGATAACAATGTGGTAATATGTTTGACACCTGCAAGTGAAACTGACGTATGTGACCGGAAATTGTGTGAGGTGTGAATTGCTTATATATATATATATATTCATTTATTTTCATTATATATATATTCATTTATTTACATTCATTTCTGGGAGAACCGGAGATATACTTTTACTTTGCATGCTTGGGGGGACAAAAACTGGGTGGTGACAAAGGCAAAGTACCGAGAAGACCTCTACTACAGAACTCTTTAGTGTTCAATGCTACAATATTTCAATCGGACACATCTTATTCGAGCAATGGATAGATAAACCTTTGAAAAATCAAATGGCCACATATAGTAGAAACATTTTGCTAGAATTTTTCAGTGTTCCGTAAATGCTCAAATATTTCTTTAGCCACTTTTAATTCAGTGATTAAACGATCTCCTAAATGGCATTTTTGGCCTTTTCTTATGAAAGAGTTTCTAATGGCAGAACTTCAAGCACATAATGAAAGAGCTACAAGGGGCTATAATTATTGGTTCAGCATTCCAAACCTTCTTGGGATACAGTGGTTTGATGGCAATATTCCTGAGGTATAGGGTTCTCTCATAAGATAAATATGAGAATCTTATCTCTTGTATGCTGCTGTTGATTTCAATTTTTTATGTGGTTCTTGACTTTAGATTGTAGCCTTATTCATGTGGAATAGTTATGTTTTTGCCAAAAAATTGTAAAAAAAATGGGATTTAATGTGTTGGAGAAAATTTACCATTTTCAAATTTATTTCTATAATCCTATTATCACTCCCCTGATCTGGGTTTTGAACAAATAAACTCGCTATATTGCTGCTTCAGAGAAGTAGTATGCTAGTAAATTTTCGTCAGTAACTCACTAACGCAATTGTTCTGCAAAGATTTCTATTTGAGGTAAGTAAAGAACAAAATTTCAGCACAATGCCTAGTATATGGCTTCTTTATAAATTGTGAAAGCCCATGAATTCTTTCTTGCACTTGGTCATATGAATGAAAAATAGGAGACATTCTTTAAATTTGGTTCTATGATTATTATATGAACGTATCAACCAGAGAACTCAAGTGCTGACAAAATTAACTGGTTAAAGATGTTTAGAATAGGGAGTGCTTTACCGTATCACTCTTAGCTAGGGAAAGCAATTTGCCTTTTTCATTATTGTCTACAGAATACACAAGTTATAGAGAGGTAGTAAAGTTGTTGAAAAGTTTTTCATTCTATTGTTTGACCCCTTTCTAGGTTCTTTTCATCAATACTCAAGCAAAAGTTCTAGAACACAATTAGTTGCGGATAATAAATTCCAGGGTAAACCAAAACTACCTGTGAGGTTCATCTTTGTTACCAGAACCCCAAATAACTCCGTCAAGCATATGGTACTCCCACAGGTCTCACTGTAGCAAAATGATTTTGTTATGCAAATACAAAAATCAAAGGAATTGTAATTGTAAATCTGCAGTAGTTTATCCCAAATGTTTACTTGCTGTAATTGTAAATCTTTAAGTGGACTATGGATGACAATCCCATATGTTGGAAATAATCTGCACAAAGGAAGAAATAATTTAGGGTAAAACTAATTTAGTAACCTGTGATTGTGCCTATCCCAGATTTTCATTTCCCAGTCGAATTTCTGGAAACCCAACTGGTACTGTAACTGTGTTTCTATTATAGTCGAGAAATTATCCAATTGCCTTAACATCCTTGAAATAATGCTTTCAATATCACGACACACACACACATCCAATGATAACCATTAAAGCATGCTAAAATGCTTATGTTCTTGTCCCCTTTATGCCCAAATGTTGTGTTTCCCACCTTCTGTACAATGTTTAAGTTTCAACTCAGTAGATGCACATCAAAATGGGCCAGAAACTCACATGTAGTTTATCTTCTACTATTCAGGTTAATCAACCCAGTTGTTGTGGCCCCAACCATCGCAGCTGTCGGGCTTTCTTTCTACAGCTATGGCTTCCCTCGACTTGGCGCCTGTATCGAGATCGGTGTGCTGCAGATATTGTTAGTTGTTATTTTTTCCCTAGTAAGTTCTGTACTCTGTTACATGACAATTTAAGTGTAAATTCCCCAGTGCCAAAGCTAGTTTTCTCATAACTTACTTGCTTTGCAGTACCTACGTAAAATATCAATTTTGGGTCACCGCGTATTTCTAATATATGCGGTAAGCATATATTTTTTTCTGCTTGTTCATTCATATATTTGTGTATATTGGTCTGATTTCTCCTTGTCTAAAACCTAGGTTCCACTTGGTTTGTTTATTACATGGTGCACATCTTTCCTTCTCACTGAATCTGGAGTGTACAGCTATAAAGGATGTGACACGAATATACCAGCCTCGAATATTATTTCTGACCACTGCAGAAGGCATGTCTCCAGAATGAAGTATTGTCGAGTCGATACCAATCACGCATTGAGTGCTTCCCCATGGTTTAGGTTTCCTTACCCTCTGCAATGGGGCATGCCTGTCTTTCATTTGAAGATGGCTCTTGTTATGTGTGTGGTGTCGGTAATCGCAGCAGTTGACTCGGTGAGTCAGTCCTCCTTGTGAAATTTTTTTGTTTAATATTGTTGAATTTTTAATTTGACATTTTTCTGTTTGTACTCTTTCGTTTACTGATTGTTGCGTTTCTCCTGTAGTTATCTAATTTTAGAAGTTCATAGTCGTATCCTTTGAAGTTATTTTATGGTACCTTTTTCAACATTTTTTACAAACTAAAATTTTGAACGATGCCTGAACACACTTTTGGAGGTAGTACTATTTAGATTTTTGTACACAAGATTTATCTTTTTTCATGCAGCCATCCCATTTCCAAACAGGAGCATAAAAATGGAAATTACGAACCTGTACATTTAAAATTAACACACATCTAATGTAATGTGTTTTTACTTTCAAATGAATATCTCGTGATTTTNCCAGACCCCCAACAGCTGGAGTCTTAAGTCGAGGTATTGGTCTTGAAGGGCTAACGAGCATCTTGGCCGGTGTATGGGGCACTGGGACTGGCTCCACAACTTTGACAGAGAATGTTCACACGATAGCCGTGACCAAAATGGGAAGCCGACGAGCAGTTCAATTGGGTGCATGTGTATTGATTGTGCTATCCCTTGTAGGTATGTATGTACAGTTTATTCGTAATTGTTTATTGTGTTCAAGACAGAACAGAAGCATCATCACCTTATGTTGATCTTTATGTGATATTTAATTTGGGAGCAGGAAAAGTAGGGGGATTTATTGCATCCATACCTGAGGTGATGGTGGCAGCTCTGTTGTGCTTCATGTGGGCCATGCTAACGGCATTGGGCTTATCCAACCTAAGATATAGCGAGGCTGGGAGTTCAAGGAACATAATCATAGTCGGCCTTTCTCTCTTCCTTTCTCTCTCCGTACCAGCCTACTTTCAGCAATATGGTCTCTCCCCAAATTCAAACTTGTCTGTGCCGAGTTACTTTCAGCCCTACATTGTGGCTTCTCACGGTCCAATCGCCACCACGTCTGGAGGGGTAGGCCTACACACACAACATATTTATTTTCAGTTGATATTATAGTATTGATTTTTCGTATATTAATTATTTTCAGGTGAATTACGTTGTGAACACATTATTGTCCCTTCACATGGTGATTGCTTTCTTAGTGGCGCTCATCTTGGACAACACAGTGCCCGGGAGCAAACAGGAACGTGGAGTGTATGTGTGGTCTGAGGCTGAGGCTGCCAGAAGGGAGGCTGACGTGTGCAAGGACTACCAGCTGCCATTTAGGGTCGGCACAATCTTCAGATGGGTCAAATGGGTGGGTCTTTAGGTAAAGCTCATGATAATTGCTATTGTTGGATGTTTGTTTGTTTGTTTGTTCAGAGTACAACTCTCTTGTGTGTATATTAGTTATTGTTATTGTTATTGCAGTTGCACCTTTTCTCTTTTTGGGGTTCTTGGCACATTGGCTGTATATTTTTCTTCTTCTTTTGTGTGTGTGTGTGTGTGTGTGTGAGTTTAAAATTCGCTTATGGGACGGACTATTATTATTCATGCTGCAAAATTTTGGAGATTCTCATCTTGATTCTTGTCACTCTTTTGTATGTTTAAAATAAATTGTTCACTAGTGAGCTATAAACAAAAAAATAATATAATTTTGAAGCTAATGACAAAAAGTAAAACCATTTATAAACACTAGTTTGTACCCCGTGCGATGCACGAGAACAATATTAAATTAACAATATTATAAATAGACCTCGAGTTTGAGTCACTCAATGGCGAAAGTGAAATCTACTATTGATCCTATTTAAAAAGAGGAAGAAAAAAAAATAATTATATATTAAAGAGGAGGATAAACAATATTTAATAATTATAAATTAAAAATTCGGGTCAAACAATGTAAAATTATTTTGTATAAGAGAATATAAAAAGATTTGATTACACACCATTTCAAAATTATTATTATACTTTTTTGTATGGTTAGTTTATAATATTTGTAAAAATATTAGAAATTAGACCGATGAAAATTAGCTTCTTAAAGTAGATAATAGACTTCTAGTAGTATTATGAATGGATTACTGTTTTATTTTATCTTTTCTTTTTAAAGATAATAAATTTCTAGTAGTAATTATGAATTGGTTTCTATTTTATTTTATTTTTTCAAATATATATAGACAAGGGATAAGATGTTTTAAACAAGTGAGACGTATGCAATGGGATTTTGTAACAGAAGAGATAAGCTCGTGTAGATTTATACTAAAAATAAGAAAAACAAAAAACAAATATTTATTGTCAAACAACGGTTTTGATAAACTAAAAAACAGAAAAATGAGAAACAAATCTTTACACAATTAATGAGCCGATTTTTTTGCCTATTCAGATTTGTCCAACAATCACTACATGTAGGATATATTTAATGATTTTGGCGGAAAAAAGTTTCTAAATTTGTAAAAAGGTTATTCTTTTTATATAATGATAGATTGGAAGAGAGTATATTTGTAATTAAAATAAAAAAAAAACTTTATAAATATATAAATAGATAGAAATTTGTAGGTAAACAACATAATTATCTCTATATGTTATCTAATCTGAGTGATTGGAGTGTCGAAGCAGATGTCAAATTGAAAATTGTATAAAGTATAATTAGTTGTACGTATATAAAAAAACAGTGTAAGATTTATTTATTTATTTATTTTTTCGAACGATCGAGATATTCATAGAGCAAAATAAAGGATTTACAATCGGAAGACAAACTAGGCTTTATAAATCGAACTAAATGGAGCACCACACCAATAGTGACCTAGAGAAAGCAAAACCACAAGCAAACCAAAGGTAAATACTAAGATTTGAGACCTTCAGAATACAAACAACGACATAACAACAAGCTAGAAACAAACAATTGCCAACAACTCTAACCGACCAAACAACAAACATAAAAAACACACGGGTAGGGGTCACTGAGATCACTGAACATAAAAACCTAGTCCAGATGAAGCCAAACTGCAGGAACTAATATGATAGCTCCTGGAACTCAGACCACCCCTCATAGCCTCTTGAACAATCACCCTTTCTGGCATCCATACTCATTGAAAGACTCAAAGGTTCCGCGCAGTCTAAAGCCACCACAGAATATACATCGAGAGTTGTATTCGAGCCTCAGAAACCACAGAGCAATCTAAATCCGCTAACCACCACCACCTACTTCTAAAATCAAAGATTGAAGAGCTAGATGTATCCCAAGACACAGGGGCTACCTTCCACACTAATTGAGTTCGTCTGCAAACAAAGAAAAGATGCCACACATCCTCAACCATAATCCCATAACAAGGACAAACCCAATCCACATTAGCCCCCTCTTTTTCAAGTTAACCCAGATAGGAAGAGTGCTAGAAATACATTTTCAAAGGAAGTGTTTTAACTTCACCTTCACATTCAGCCCTAACACCTCATTCTAGCTTTCTTATCACTCTTTAAAGTATCACTACTTTGAGGGGAGTCCAAACATAACAACTTCTTCAAATATACTGAGAGTAAGCAAAAGCAACAGAAAACTTACCTTTGGAGTCTCCAGTCCTCACCCATCTATCTCTGGCCTCAGGATCCAAATTTTGAATCTTGAAGATAGCATCACAAGACTTAGGAGTGAAGGTTCTTTATAGAATAGCTTTATCCAAGCCTCTGCCCCCATCAAGAATAAGCTCACTTACCCAAGTTGGGCAAGGAGATGAGAGCCCTGCACACAAAGAAGGAATACCACTCACCAAGCCTGGAACCCAAGGGTCAGAGAGAATTTTAGTATTGATTCCATCCGTAACATCCTTCATGAGTTAAAGGACAGAACTTTGACCCAACAATTCCATAACTAAGAAGCAGAACCAGACCTCTTTGCTTCTAGAACACTGCCTGAGGGGAAATACTTTTTCTTGAGGATTAGTGACCAATAGATTTGGTTTTGTGAGCAGCCTCTAAATTTTCTTAAGGATTAGGGCATCATTGAAAACCCTGATATCTTGAAACCCTAACCCATCAGAGTCTTTTGGAATAGTAACCCTGCTCTAGGCTAACCAATGGACCCATTTGCTTTGGTCAACTCCCTCAAACCACCAGAAGTTAGCACACAATTGGGAAATATCTTTACAAATACTAACAGGTAAGCAGAAGCAGGACATAACAAATATAGGAAGAGAATTAATCATTGCCTTAAGAAGGTTTTCTTTCCCTGCTGTGACAAAAACTTATTCTTCCAACTTATAAGCATGTTTTTTCTGAAGACATCACAAAATCAAACATTTTTATCTTTGACTTACCAATGCCCAGAGGGAGTCCAAGGTATCTTGAAGAAGAAAAAAATGAAATATCCTCCGAAATCTGACAAACACATTGTTGCAGCTGAACTGAAGCATTTCTGCTGAAGAATACAGAGAACTTTTGGAGATTTACATTCTGACCACTAAAATTCTGGTAATCAGAAAGGATTTTCAAAAGCCTATTAGCATAACAGAGAGTCATCAGCAAACAACACGTGAGTCAAAACAGTACCCTTTAGAAAGATTAAGACCCTGCATATCCCCCATACTAATAGCCTGAACGATTAATCTTGGTAGAAGTTTAGATACCAAAATGAATAAGTAAGGGGAAATTTGTTCACCCTGTCTCAAACCCCTAGAAGGTGTTAAGATATCAGAAAATCTCTCGTTCACGTTGAAGGAAAACGCTAAAAAAGAAATACGAGCAGAAATCCACTTTACAATGAGGATAAAAACCGATTTTTAGCATTATTTTCACCACACAATTTTACTCCACCATGTCATAAGTTTTCATCATGTCCAATTTCACAGCCATGAAACACCTCATGCCTGTTCTATGTTTGTTCAGATAGTGAATAGCCTCTTGAGCTAACACCACATTACCTAAGAGTTGCCTATCAGGAATGAAGGCAGACTGACTTTCATGATCACAGAATTTCAGAAAACCTTTAAGTACTTCATGGGGTAACAAGAAACAAGACATGGAGGAAGTAGGTAATGCTCCCAAAATTGCTTTCAGAAGCGCCTCTTTACCTGCGCTTGATAAAAGTCTATTCTTCCTATTTGCAATTCTTTTCTTGACAGCATCTTCAACTAAAGCAAAAGTGGATATTTTTTAGTTTCTTATGCCCAGGAGTAGGTCTAGATAATTTGTGGAGTCTTGAGGTTTAATTCCCAACATAGTTGCTGATTTCAAATTGGGTGGTTAGGTGAGTGTTTTTGCTGAATAATATAGAGAATTTTTCTAGGTTTACTTTTTGGTCAGTTATTGATTGGTAGTTTTGCATGATATTTAACAAGGTTGAGGCTTGATTCACATCTCCTTTAGCAAACACCAAGGTGTTATCAACAAAGAAAAGATGGGTTAGGTTTGGGGAGGCTTTACTAAGTTTGATCCCCTTCAGGTTTCCTTTTAACAACTCAAATTTGATAAGATAAGAGAGAATTTCCAAAATCAAAATTAAAATGTAGGGGGACAGAGGGTCCCCCTGTCTAATCCCTCTGGAAGGGTTGACATAACCACGCACTTCACCATTCACACTAAAAGAAAAGGAGGCTGAAGAAATGCGGTTCAATATCCACACCACAAAAGAGGAATTAAAACCCAATTTCAACATTATAAGTCTAACAGAATCCCATTCCACTCTGTCAAAGGCTTTGATCATGTCTAGCTTTATTGCCATATAGCTATTTTTCCCATATCTGTGAGATTTAAGAAAGTGAAAAACTTCATGGGCTATTATAACATTGTCCAGAATCTACATATTAGGAATAAAAGCTGACTGAAATTCGCTAATACAGATGGGTAGGCAAGGCTTAAGTCTCTTAGCAAGGATTTTAGAAATAACTTTGTAAATCACATTGCAAAGGCTAATTGGCCTAAATTGAACTACTGAAACAGGATTATTGCACTTTGGGATCAGAGTGATAAGAGCATGATTAAGCCTCTTTAGCATCCTACCAGAGTTGAAAAAACAAAACAAAACTATACAAAGATCCTTCTGAACTACAGACCAAAATGATTGGAAAAAGGTGGAGGTCATACCATCATGTCCATGGGCCTTGTTAGGGTTGATGCTGAAAAGGGCCTTTCTATTTCTTCTTTGGTCACTGGTGCCACAAGATCTGAGTTCAATTCAGTAGGAATGACATCTCTCATGTCTTGGAGCAATCTATCACCCGAGGAAGATTCTTATGATGAGAAGAGCTGCTTGTAAAACTCCTCAATGCAGTAAGCTATATTCTCCTTACTCCCCCAAAAGCAGGGGCGGAGGCAAGGGGTGGCTCTTAATTTTTTGTTTTATCTAAATATATAGTAGTAAAAAAATATTTTAGCCCATCTTTTATTGTTTTAATTTATGATAAAAATATTTAGGTCATATTAAATTAAATTTATGTTATATTAAACCAAAAAATTATATATGTTTTTGACATGACACATATTTTTTATGAATTTATATATGTTTTTGACATGACACATATTTTTTATGAATTTTTTGTGGTTATAGATTACTTTGTCATTTTTTCTTCTTTGTTTTCATTTTTTAATCTTTGGTTTAAGACACGATTAATTTATATTATTTATATTACTTTATATGTAAAATATGTTAATTACTTGTTAACTTTTAAATAAATGATATATAAATATGTGAAATATATAATTTAATTCATCAATTTGCGTAGCATTATCAATGAAAAAATATTTAGAATTCCACATTTTAAGTAAAAATATCATATAACAAGTATCTTGGGTAAACATGCCTATTCAATAATATGACATTTGGACTTCCACAATTTAAGGGAAATATCATCTAACAAGTATGTTGGGTTGACCTCCTAATAATAAAACGTTAATCTCATAGTAGTAATATTTGAAATAAGTTATATTGTTATTATAAGTGAAATTTAAGTAGACAAGAAGAAATTACATGATAGTACTATTTTTTGATTAAAAAATTACTATATCAACAAATAAAAAAAAAACCTACAAGTTTTTGTGAAATACAATCGATTTCATATAAATACGCCTAAAAAAATAACATAAGGTGTTTTCAATATACTAAAACAACATGACATAGTTTTAATAATTCGTTTTCCATTCGTTTTGTAATTTACATTAAACACTTGAGACGTTATTATACTTTGATTTTTTACACATAACAATAGAGATATTAGTGAAGCCAAATTGAGTCGAATACATCGTGTTCGAACTTATGCTCGTATAATAAACATGTAAGTTTGACTAAGATCATTTAATAAATCGAGTGTAATTAATTAAGTTTCGCTCGTTTGATTTTATTATATGAATAAGTCAAGATTGACTTTTTACGAACCGAATTGAGTTGTATTCCTTAACAAATCAATTCTAGACTTCTAGCAACGAAAGCCGAAAAGGTTTGGTCATCTCTGGCAAGTCTGTGGATGTGATTGTGCTGCTTCCTTCTTTGAATTTCATATTACTCGGCTATGACAAAATAATTTATGATACTTCATTGTTCCGCATCTNTGGTATCAAGAAGAATTAAAATTTAGCTAACAAGTATGCATTTCTTGTTGGGATGGGTATTTGAAAATTGTGTAAAATAATTACTAGCGTTAGATACTCGTGCGATTCACATGATATACTATAAACTAATACTTATTTTTTATTTTTTCAAATTTTGCTAAATTAATATGCTAATTATACCCGACACAGTAAAACAAGCCAATAATAATATACAGTTTATTTGAATCATTTTTATTGTTTTAATAGGTCTTGACTATTTAATATATACTTTTACTATTTAGAAGTTTGTAAGATATTATATATATCTATGATCTTAAATAAGATGTTTGTATAAAAATTACATACATGTACTTATAAAATTACCAGTTATCTTGATCTTCAAATTTTTTGTAACCATTCATATTTTGTATATTGCACGATAAATTAACTAATGTTTAACCCATAAAATTTATTTACCTTTACCATAATTATAGATGCATGAAATATTGATTGTTTTACAACTAAATTTAAATTGTAGTAACTTTAGTCGCTTATTGCAACGATTTTTTTTTCATAGTAAACTATTTTATTTTTATTTTTTATTTTTTGTCCATACTTATTTTTTTAATTAATTGTTTCTACATATACAATCAGTGCATTAATATCCAATTTAAATGTTTGGATAAATTATATATTTCAATTATTACCAAATACTATGATTTCAGTTATGATATTTGACTATATTATCTTATTTACTTATTTTTTTATTAAATAGTATATAATAAAAAATATATTTTTATAACTTGAATTATTTTTAGATGTGTATATATATTTCTAATGCGAAACTTATATTCTTAATTTCACCCAACCATCAAATAATAATTTTATTAATATAATAAATTTAATTTTTCAACAGTATTCTCGATAGAAAAATATATTCAATGGAAATATACTTTTTAATGGTTAAGTTGACTATATTTTAGAAAAAATTATTAATGTTGTAAATTATCATTAAGTTAATATGATTCAAACACAATTACTTTGGTTATTTGTTGTATATTTTAAGTGCTTCTGATCGGTGAACATAAATAATAAAATTAATATATACAATCATGAGATGATATATAATTAATCAAATCAATTTTCATAATTGTAATGAATAGTTTATTTAATTGTGTCAAAAAAATACTACGAAAATAATATTATGATTTTATTTTCTAATATTATGATCTTGTTGAAAATATATGTAATCAATTAATATCATATTTGAGTCAATTTATAACTAATGAATATTAGTCATTGAGTAAAAAAATACTAATTAATGTTCATATATAAAATTTGTTAATAGATAAAAGTTAATTATATGCTAAATATAAATGAAAATATTTCTTCGCCCAAAACTATGCTAATTCTAATAACAAAGATTGGTCCATTATATAGATATAGATATAGATATAAATTATCTTTACGTGTCTTGCGTCTTTATTTTTGGTTAAAATAGTTAGGCACATCATATGAATTATGAATACGTAACTATATACAGTGTGCATATCCAGGGCCAGTTCAATGCCGACGCAGTTTCCCCGCCAATACAGTTTTAGCATATCGACCTAATTAGTTTTGGATTTGTGGTGGCTTGATTTTATTTTATTTATTTTTTACTTCCAGATATTTATTTGAAGAATCAAAATCTGTCAATACCAATATAATCAATTATAGGTAAGGGATTATATGAGAATGCGTGTTATTGTGAGAAATCTATATATATATAATTACTAGCTAATCCCATTTAATAAAACATTTAATAAAAATATTTCACTTTTCCTCCAAAAGGAGTTACATCTTATTTAATTAATTACTCCTTAATCCCACATTTAAGAAGGTTTCTTTTAGTTAAAACTAATTAGTTAATGGCTACATTAAAAAAGTTTCTTTTAGTTAATCCCACATTTATGTTTTTTATTCTCATTTATATATATAAACGTGACAGTCATTATTGTTGTGCAGAAACTATATATTATTATTTTTTATTCCATTATGAATTGAATAAGAAATTAAAGTTATAAAAATATTAATAAATGTATTAAATATAAACATTATAATACAAATTATGTTACATTACAATATAAAAAATGAAATTATTTTTTTTTTGTAATTTAATTTCTAGCCATACTCCATCAAACATATAGCTGCAAAATGATAAGAAAGATTAGTTTCATAATTAAAATAAAAAATTTAGCTCCCCCGTAAAATCTTATAAATTAGTAGTATAGATACATTTAAATGACATATAGTTTATAAACTTAGACTATACGCATAATAAGATGAATTAAAAAAAATTAATGAATTAAATAAATAAATTATTATTATAGCACAGTCTATATAATTATTATAGCAAAGTCTATATTGTCAATATTATCATTTAAAAAGTTCATTGAAAAAACATATGTATAAAAGAAATCCATATGATCATAATTAATAGTGCAAAATTAACTATCTTTGACTTTCCATTTAGTAGTAATAATAAAATATTTTATATTACTACTATTCAATAAATGCATGATTTCTGCAGATTTGATTATCGCAATCAACGTTCTGTTTTATAAATTAAAAAGTGTGCTGAATAAATTGTCTCATATTTTTCATTAAAAAAAAATCTGTTGACCGTGAAAAAAAATATTATTTCACAATTATAAATATAAATATGATTAATTTTCATTAAACAATTCCACTTTAAGAAAAAAGTGTCGGGACAAATTTCTGCATGATTATAGCATCAAAACATATCCAAAATATCAACATTTTAATGCCTTAAAACCATATTTTCAGCAACGGAAAAGTCATATTAAACGGAAATTGACAAAGTCAAAGAATGAGGATTGACAAGGTATTGTATGTAATGACAGATTGTTGCATAATATAGAAATATCAAGCATAATTGATAATCAATAAAAAAAAGTCAAATCTATATGAAAAAATCAAAATTAAAAACACAACAAATTATGTGGAACATTATTGGACACTATGCAATGTAGAAAGAAAAATAATTTGATTTCCCTATCATTATCAACACATTCAACTTTTTCCAAGACATCTGCCTTTATATTAAAATCGATATTTTGCGTAAAAGTTTTAAAAATAAAAATTCCTACAGATTCTTTTAAACATTAAACAAGAAATTCCTAATATGCAATAAATATATTTAAACAGATTTGTTATATCTAATATTTCCAAATTTTGAACAAAGTACTAAAAACTTTGAATAACTTCGAAAAAAGACGTTGAACAACTTCGAAAAGCAATTTTGAACAAGTGTTACCAAAGCTTCACTTACTGATATGATGAGAAAGACGAAAGAATTGAACTATTTAGTGTTCAAAATCTGAACAAAGTACATAAAAGTTACATATGTATGTTATAAACAGATATGAACAGATATGTTATAAACTTACCTATATATTTGTTAGTAGAGCTGAACAGATCTGTTAGAAACTTACCTATTTTTTCAAACCCTGAACAAAATATATAAAAGTTTGAAAAAGTTCGACCAATGTCATGTTCTCTTCGAAAAACGATTTCGAAAAACATATAAATAATTTTGAATTATATATAAAATATGATATATCTATGAAGCTTATTCACAAAGAATTTCGAAAAACGACACAGGTCATTGAAAATAATAAAAAATAAAAACTACGTTTAACAAAAAATATTTCAACTCTTCATAGATTTGTAATATTATCGCCCGATTTTGACCGACCTATTAAGATTTAGCAACACAGATTAAGAAATC